TGCTCCTGATCTTAGGGGTAAAGCATCCAGTTTTTCACATTATGTATGTTATTATGTATAGAGGTTTTTTTTGTAGATATTCTTTATCAATTTGAGAAATTTCCATTGTATTCCTGGTTTGCTGAGAGTTTTATTCACACATGAGTATCAGATTCTGTCAGTGCTTTTCCTAAATCTATTAAGATAATCAAATGATTTTTCTTCTTTAGCCTGTCTGTGTGATGGATTACTTTATTTTAAATGTTGAACCGAACTTGCATACCTGGAATAAATCCCACTTGGTCTTGGTGTAGAATTCATATTATGTATTGCTAGATTCAGTTTGCTAATATTTCGTTAAGAAGTTTTGCATCTATGTTCATGAGAGGTATTGGTCTATACATTTTCTTTCTTTTAATGTCTTTATGTGGCTTGGCTATTAGGACCTCATAGAATGTGTTGAAAAATGTTCCCTATGCTTCTATTTTCTGGAAAAGATTGTAAATAATTAATATGGTTTCTTCTTTAAATGTTTGGTAGAATTCACCTGTGAAATTATCTGGCCCTAGTGCTTTCTTTCTTGGATGATTGTTAATTATTCATACATTACTATACCAGATATAGACCTATTCAGGTTATCCATTTCTCTTTTTAGAATAAATGTGTCTCCTCGAAATTCATGTCCTGAAAACTAATCCCCAATGTGATGGTATTTGGAGGTGCTTGTGGGAGATACTATGTCATGAAGATGGACCTCTCATGAATGAGATTAGTGCTTTTATCAGAGGCCCTTAACTCCTTCTGCCATGTGAGAATACAAGAGAAGACACCTTTCTATGAACCAGGAAGCAGATCCTCACCAGACACCAAATCTGCTGGCACCTCGAATTAATCTTGGACTTCAGCCTCTAGAACTGTGAGAAATAAATTTCTGTGTTTATGAGATACAATACCTGGTTTATCGTATTTTTTCTTTTTTTTAAATTTCAAAATATTAATATTTTTGTTATATGGATACCTTTTATAATGCTTAAGTCAGGGCTTTCAGTGTGCCCATAACCCAAATAGTGTTCATTGTATCTGATAAGTAGGTTTTTACTCTTCCCCTCCTTTTAAGTAAAAATGGGAAGAAGGTAAAGCTGCAAGATGGGAAATATTTACACCCATTCTCCCTAATACTTTTCAGAGTACATGCCCTGTGCTGGTTACAAGCTGCTACAGGAGGCTCCTGTGTTGGGGGTCCTCATTTTTCACCCTCTGCAGATGCATCTCTTAGTCACATGACTCCTCAGGTCTTTCTATTGAAGAGGCATTGTCTGCTTCCCTTGACCCTCTACTCTTGAGTCAATGGCATGCCAGCTAATGTGACACATGAGAAGGCTAAGGACAGACTTGGGGGGTTTTGTGCTACTGTTGTGAGCATGTGCATGGGCTCTGGCTGGAGGATGAGGTGGGAGCTTAATCATCCCAGATGGGGCTATCCTGGACCAGCCAACAGCAGCTTCCCTGGACAGGTGAGTGACCCAGGTGAGACTGCTGAGGTGGAGCAGGGCCCTGTAGGCCTGTGAGCTCAGGTGTTGTTGCAGGTGATGGGGGCTGTGTGGTCGCAAAGCATCATTGTAGTGGGAGAGTACAAATGGGTACAGCTACCCATAGCTTTTAATGATCATTTGTCAGTAAAATTTCTATGTTAGAATAGTTGTAGCAAATTAGATGTCAATAGATTCAATATATTTCTAGAGTTTCTGTATTCCTTTAAAAAATAGCTTTGAGATATAATTCACCTATTTAAATTGTACAATTCAATGATTTTTGGTGTATTTATAAAGTTGTACATTCAACACAATCCGTATGAGAACAATTTTTTTTTTTTACTCCAAAAAGAAATTTCATCCCACTCAGACATAATCCTCCAACTTTCCAACCCCTCTGGCTCTAGGCAACCACTAATATACTTTCTATCTCTATAGATTTGTCCTTTCTGGACATTTCATGAAAATGGAATCATGTAGGCTCTGATCCTTTATGACCAGCTATTAAATACTTTCACTTCGTATGTTTTCAAGGTTCATCTGTATTGTAATTTGTGTCAGTATTTCCTTCATTTTGTAACTCAGTCAGTAGTTTAGTAATTAACATTAATCTAAATTAAGATCTGTGTATATACTAAAGTTATAACTTTTATAGCTATAAGGCCATTTTTCAGTTTTATATAGTGGTAAAATATACATAACGTAAAATTTACTATTTTAAACATTTTTAGGTGTACATTTAGTAACATTAAGTACATTCACATTGTTGTGAAACCCTCACTGCTATGCATTCCCCAAATCTATTGATCATCCCAAATATATACTCTACCTATTAAACAGTAACTTCCATCCTTCCTCCTGATGAGGCCCTGGCAACCACTGTTCTACTTTCTGTTTACATAAATTTGCCTGTTCTAGATACCTGATCTAAGTGGAATCACATCATATTTTATTTTTTCTTTATTTCTATTAGTATCTTTTCAAGGTTCATCCATGATGTAGCACATATCAGAATTTCCTTCTTCTCTAAGGCTGAATAATATTATATTTTATGGATATATCACAATTTGTTTATCCATTCTTGTGTTGATGGACATTTGGGTTGTTCTACCTTTTGACTATTGTGACTAATGCTGCTATGAACATTCATATACAAGTTTTCGTATAGGTGTACATTTTCATTTCTTTTTGTGAAATAATGAGAAATACATATATATTGGTCTCTGCCCCTGGTTACTGACATAGAGCTCCTAAATCCCTCAAAATTTCCTGGGTGTTAGGAGCTTCTTTTTTTTCTAGGAGGAGACTCTTGTTGGGATCCTGGATGGGTGTCGGTCACAAGAAAGACAAGCCATGATTGGAAGCTTGAAACTTTCAGCCTCCTCCCCACCATTCTCTGGAGAGGGGGAAGAGACTAGAAATAGAGTTAATCAGTCATGCCTACATGATAACATCTCCATAAAACAGTTGGGTCTGTAAAGCTTCCCAGTTAGTGAACACATCCATGTGCCGGAAGGGTCATGCACCCCAACTCCACAGGGACAGAAGCTCCTATGCTCAGGACCCTTCCAGACCTCGCCTTATGTATCTCCAGCTGATTGGTCATCTGTACCCTTTATCATATCCTTTATTGACATAATAAAGCAGTGAGCAGAAGTATTTCCCTAAGTTCTGTGAGCCATCCTAGAAGATTATTGAACCCAAGGAGGGGTCATGGGGGCCCCCCATGTTTCTGATGGACAGAAACATGTCTGATGGACAGACAGTCCATCAGAAACACAGAGCACAGCCGTAGGCTTGCAATTGTCTCAAGTGGGGAGCAGTCTTGTGGAAGTGAGCCCTCAACCTGAGGGGTCTCCACGAACTCCAGTTAGTGTCAGCATTGAGTTAAATTGTAGGATGTCTGGTCAGTATCCACCACATAATTGGTTGTTTGTGGGCTGAAACTCCCTCACATTTTGATTGTAGAAATGTTCTGTGTTGAGTGATGATTGTGAGAGATAGAAAAAATAGTTTTGTTTTTGTATACATACCTCAGAATGAAATTGCTAGATCATACACTAACTCTATGTGTAACCATTCTCAAATGGTTAAGGAAAGTACTAGATTTTGTTCCAAAGTGGCTGCACCATTTTCATTCCCACCAGCAATCTATGAGGGCTCCATTTTCTCCACATCCTCAACCACCTTTGCTATTATCTGTCTTTTTTTTTAGTTACAGCCATCATTGGTGAGTTTCAGTATTCTTAAATTCTGCACAATTGGAGCATGCATGATCTCTCTCTTCATGGGCCATCTGGATACCTGGATTCTATGTTTATACTGTGAAACTTTTTTTTGTAAATGCCTTTTCTTTTATATTCCATCATTTTTCATTTGAGAAGAAAACAATGCAACGTATGCAACTTTTCTTTCATCATTTAAATCTGTTTAATTCACTTGCTTAGTATAAGGTCACTTTTTCTGTGATGATACTTGAACTAAGATTCCTCCTTCCAGGTTGCCAGTTTATGGTTTTATTTTTCTGCCGATCATAACTCCCAAATCTCCAAGTAGGAGTATATGTAATAAAATGCTGACATGATAGCTAAAGCGTTTTTTTTTTTAATTTTAGCATATTATGGGGGTACAAATGTTAAGATTACATATATTGCCCTTGCCCCCCCAAGTCAGAACTTCAAGCGTGCCCATCCCCCAGATGGTACCCATCACATTCATTATGTATGTATGTACCCATCTCCTCCTCCCCCTTCCCACCTGCCCGACACCAGATAAATGTTATTCCTATATGTCCACTTAGGTGTTGATCAGTTAATACCAATTTGCTGGTGAGTACATGTGGTGCTTATTTTTCCATTCTTGGGATACTTCACTTAGTTGAATGGGTTCCAACTCTAGCCAGGAAAATAGAAGAGGTGCTGTATCACCATTGTTTCTTGTAGCTAAATAGTACTCCATGGTATACATATACCACATTTTATTAATCCACTCATGTATTGATGGGTTTTTATTAAAATAATCATTAAATGAGTTGAGAAAACAAATCTTTATAACAGCTTTCATTATATGTAAATATTTTCTTCAAATCTTATTAGTTATTTCTGTCTTCCTCCTTTTCAACAGAAAAATAAAAAAGATTTACTAGCATCAGTGCTCAGTACTATGTGCAATGCAGTGCTGATGCTCATGCATCACTAAAGTCACCTTGCCTGGCTTCTTCACCTTAGACTGAAGCCTCTTGAACTGTTCTGTTGCCAAGAGTGTGAAATAAGCACAAGAACAGAGAGATGATGGTGAATTTCTGGCAACCTCCCCTGCCCCAGCATCTCTAGGAACAAGGTAGGTGCTCTGGCCCATCTCCCCCCCACCCCCAATGGGGAACCCTGGTAGGGCAGCCTGGCCCTGGGGGCTCTCTCCACCATCACCACTGGGGAGGGGGAGGCTGGTGGAGGTTGAGGGTAGGGGAGTGGGGAGTGGCTGCAGGTTAGATCTCCGGGAAAGAGGAGAGGAACGAGCCAGAAGCCCCAATCAAGACAGAGCATTGGGTTTTAAGGTGGGGAGCCTTAGTGAGTGTGAACATGGACCCTGCCACCAGAGCCTCTCTTTTCTCAGGATGCTCATTCTTTTGTCTGCTCAGACCTGGAGCACAGTAGAAGTGTTGCAGCAATGTGTACAGCTAGTGTTACCGGGGGAAGAACTGAGCAGTACACAAAGAAACGGAGAACAGCCTTTATTCTTGCACAGCAGGCTCAACACACCTGGTGTTACAGCTCTTTTGGAGTCTTCTGACCCTCCCGCCCTTCTTTGGTCTCCTCCTGCTTTTATACCCTTGGTAGGGCTCAAAAAGCATCCAATCAACATCAAGCTTTAACATCCAATCAAAAACAGCAGGATTCAAAAATTACCCAATCAGGATCATGCAAGCAGCATGGCCGTAATCTGGGCGGCAGCACGGGGTGTGGCCGTATTCTGGCACACGGGGCCCCAGGGCGGTTCTCTGCGCAGGCCCAGCCCCCCCAGAGTGCTGGCCAACTGGCCACGCTCAGCGTTGGCCTGTGGAGATGCGGAGTGTCGGGGAGGCGGCAAGCGGCTGCGTCTTGGCGCCCGACATTTTCCGTATCAGAAGCAGGAATGCTGGTGAGTTCAGCTAATCTTTTAAAATTCATACTGAAAATTAGAATTTAGTATTAATATTTACGTGTGGAATCACTGACATGTTTCTGAAAATGAGGCACTAAAAAATATCTCAAAGTCCCACCACAGAGATAGAGTGGCCTCACACTGTTTTTTCTCTTGTTAAGCCTAAAATACACAGAGCATGTTTTGCCTTTTTGCTGCTGTATTGAATAATCATTGCTAAAGCTCACGTTCTAGTGAAACCTAAAATTAGCATGCGAATATTGAGAGAAGAGGGAACCTAAGGAGAATAGCATGAGATAATGAGAGAACAACAGGCCAAAGCATTCGTTATTCTTTTTTAGCATAAAAGCATTTTGTAAGAATTGTGTCTGTAAAGGAAGTAGCTGCCAACCTGGCTCAGTCCTGCATAGGCATGGATGTTTCCAGTTGGTGCTTTGCTGAATCGGGGTGACTGGAGAAATCCCAAGGCCGGAGTGGGCTCATTGTTAGGGTGGAAAACTTAGTAGGTGCTCACAGTGCAGGTGGAGAAAGATTTCTCACTCAGAGATTAAGTTATAAAAGTAAAATTTATTTTATCTTTTGGAAGGACAGAGAGAATTGGGGGGAGGGGGAGAAAGAGAGCAGAGAGACTGCGTGGCACCCCAAAGGAAGAGAAGAGAGATGCCAGCCTACAGGCCAGGTGGTTTGCTGCTTTTATGGTGACAAAGAGAAAAATAGTAATTATTGTGAACTAATTAGCAGGCAATCTTTAGACTTCAAATTGTCCTTCTTTCTTGTTTCTTCTGTTCCTGGAGACTTGGTTATCTCAGAGATGTAGTCAGGCCTGTCATAGGGGATGTGATTCTTGTCCCTTAGATGTGGTTTGGGGCAGGAAACTAAGGCCTCAAGTTTACCCACTGCTGTCTCTCTGGGAGGTTCTCTGGAACACCTTTAGGCTACAGAAACAAATTCTAAAGCTGTGAGCTGGTGAAATGTAAAGAGAAAGATTTACATTTCCTTTCTTTTGGCTCTTTTCGGACAGTTTGTGAAAACAAGAGTCCCAGCAGGTTCCATCTTCCAAGGTAATCAGCCTGGTATAGGAAGGCCAGCCAATGACCAGCCATGCCCAGGGAGCAGGTGGATGGGGCTCCCCTCATTGCTGCAGTGAACCTTGTTAGGGATAATGGTCACAGATACAGGGGTGTGTCTGCCAACTGAAAGGAACCTTCAATGAACTAGTAAATAGGCCCTTTTTGTAGTATTTGAATGCACTTCCCAGGAATCATAAAGGTCAGGATGTTTTTGGAAACTTACAGAAAATGAAAACATTTTCTCTTAAAACAGCTTCCATAGTTGCACAGGGTGACAGGCCAGGACAGAGCCAGGTTGTGTGAGGTCCGAAGCTTGTGCAATTTTGGGAGACTTTTTAATCAAAAGCGAACAAAATGACTCCCGATGACACTTTCTCAGTGGCCTTGCCAGGCCCAGAGGGTGTTCTGGGGAGAACCCAAACACCATGGGCCTCAAGGAAGTCTACCTCTTTGTGTTGATTTTGGGGGGAAAAGCATTCAAGTGTACTTAATAAAGGACATATTCACTAATGGTTAACGTCTCAGTGGAGTGAATTTTAAGTTGAACTTTTCCCTTTAAATCAAAATCTGTTTGAATAAAAAAGCATAAAATATTAATAGCTTAAACGATTTGTAAGTAATAGATCCAGGGTTTACTTTTTGCTCTGTGTATCTGAATAATAAAGGTGAAATTAACCTTTGGATATGCCCCCACTTATTTTTACAACCTTTGAAGGATTGATTTTAACACACAAAGTTCTTTAGAGTAATTTCTAAATTGTATCCACTTCCACCTGCTTCTGGGACCTGCTGTTGGGGTGATTGTTTTCGGCGTTAGCTGCTTTGTACGGAATACCTTTAAAAGCTGCATTATGTATGTCTGAATATTTCCGAGAGGCATAAGACCAAATGTAATATGTTCCTTCAAAATACAGATACTTGTTTTTCCTAGTTTGAATTCTATGGCATTGAATTATATGCTTTAAGTCTCTTTTATCATGAGTTAAGAAAAATGATACACAACTTGTCAATACTGCAAAAGAGGGCATTAGCTAGCATTGAGACAGGGAACTGGCAGGTACTGCTTTAGGAAGTGCCTTGGGCATTGCTGAAGCATTGCCTGAGTCAGGAAGTCTCAAAACAAAGTTTCAATTTCCCTGAACACCAGGTGGCTCCTAGCATTGGGAGTCACTTTCCCGTGTCAGCATGCCCTCTCAATGTTGTACAGGTGCATTGTGTGACAGGCCCCCTTGGTTGCATAATTATCCAGGAGAATGCTCCTATGTCTGTTTTGCTCATTTACTGTTTTAATTAGAGTTTAGAAACTGCTATGTTCCCTGTTAAATTGATTTCTTTTTTTCACACACACAAGGTAACTACAAAAGGTTTATTGCCCTGTGAGACATTAATCAGCTGTTTTTGTAACCTAGCAATCTCAGTCTAACATTCTTTCATAAATACCTCTAAATTCAAATTTCTTAAAATGCTCTTTTACTGGACTGTTTATTAATGTGTTAATAAATCTTTAGCGTACCTTTGTTCTATAGTCCTTGACTCCTTTGCTTAGGAGTCAAAAAATTTGCTTAAGTGTTTTTAACTTTTTGAAAATAATACTTTGACACCTAGCATTGTGACAATGAGTGCTTAGTTTGGTTGTTGCTTCATAATAAACTTCCTTTCTGGTTGGTTAGAAACTTTAGTCTTCAATAATTAAACAGGAAGTGTGGCTGGAAATAGGAGGTAAAAATATCTTCCTTAGTTTTTCAGATAATGTGTATTTTCAAAATACTCATGAAAAGCAATTGAAGTATAAAACATTTGAAATTTTAAGTAGTTTGAAATTAGAAACTGTTGCGGCAATGTGTGTACAGCTAGCATTACAGCTCTTATTCGTTTGACCGGGGAAAGAACTGAGCAGCACGTGAAGGGTCAGAGAACGGCCTTTATTCTTCTGCAGCAGGCTCAGCACGCCTAGTGTTACAGCTCTCTTCATGTCTTCCGATCTTCTGCCCCTTCGTGCTCCTTATTCATTGTTCTCCTCCTGCTTTTATACCCTTGGTAGGGCTCAAAAAGCGTCCAGTCAACAACAAGCTTTAACATCCAATCAAAAACAGTGGGATTCAAAATTTACCCAATCAGGATCATGCAAGCAGCGTGGCCGGAAACAGGCAGCAGCTCCAGGGCCTGGGGGCATTCCGGCAGGCAGGGCCCCAGGCGGCTCTCTGCCTCCGGGCCAGCCCCAGCAGCGTGCCCTCCAACTGGCCACGCTCAGCGCTGGCGCGTGGAGATATGGAGAGACAGGGAGGTGGCAAGTGGCCAGGTCCCGGTGCCCAACATTTTCCGTATCAAAGCTACATAATTATTATATGCCCATTTAATAGATGGGTTATAGAAAATATTTCCTCCAAGGTTATAAATCACAAATGAAAAAAGGTATATGTTATCTGGGCTGTGGCTTTTTTTTTTTTTTTTTTTTTTGAGACAGAGTCTCGCTTTGTTGCCCAGCCTAGAGTGAGTGACCTGGCGTCAGCCTAGCTCACAGCAACCTCAAACTCCTGGGCTCAAGTGATCCTACTGCCTCAGCCTCCTGAGTGGCTGGGACTACAGCCATGTGCCACCATGCCTGGCTAATTTTTTCTATATATATTAGTTGGCCAATTAATTTCTTTCTATTTATAGTAGAGACGGGGTATCGTGGTCTCACTCTTGCTCAGGCTAGTTTTGAACTCCTGACCTCAAGCAATCCGCCCGCCTCGGCCCCCCATAGTGCTAGGATTACAGGCGTGAGCCACCGCGCCCTGCCTGGGCTGTGGCTTTTATTAAATTTTTATTTGGTGGTACTTCAGGCTAAGATGTAGTGAACATAAATGTACAGGGAGGGTGTGTCAGTTATATCTAACTCATGGAGAGAAACATGAAAAGGTTTGCTTTTTTAAAGACAAATACAACATTTTGGGTGTGCCATTGTAGGGATATTATAAGTGGTGTGTCAGATATTTAAATTTATGTGCATTCCTAAATTTTAAGATGTGGCTTTCACAAACAGTATCACTTATGGTTCCATCACTTGACTTAGTGGTTATCATCTGCGGAGAAGGAATTTTTAATGCCATGTGTTTCTTGTGCCACCGTTGGAAGAAGGGGCTTGCAAACATGGTTTGGAATCTGTTGTAGTTTGGACAACATTATGTGGCCTCTCAAACGCTGTGGAGTAGGCTGAGGTCTCTATGCTCCTTGCAGTGTCATCCCATTGCCTAGGGTATTCAAGATCCGACAGAAAAGTTCTCTGGAACTTGTGAGCAGGCAGTGAAGGGACCGCTTAGATTAATGCAGAAGTGACCTGCTGCCTTGAGATGTTAAATCAAGGAGTACTACAGGTGCTCCCTGTAGTACTCAAAGTTGTAATTAGTTTTTTTTATTTCCGACACCTGTAAATCTTTAGGCAACCAGAGTGCTTGGTAAAGTTTGACTAAAAACAGTATTTCTAGGAGTGGTAGAGTGACGGGAGAAGTGACAAAATCATCACCGTGTGTACATGTGAGTATACTGAGTGTCACTGGGAGGGTGGTTGGGTAGCAAGTGCTCTCAGGGAGTTCAAAACCACTGTCAATAGTTGCAAGAGAGGCACTTACTGGAATCGGCAGCAATCAAGGTAGGTGAAATTGAGTTATTTTGTATTTACTTCCTTGCGAAATGGATATAATTTGATTTGGATTTCTGAATGCATGAGCAATTAAAAAAATAAGACATATGCCCAGACCCAGCTGCAACCATTGCCCTCTCCTCCGACGTGCTTTCTTTGTGTTCTGTGAGTAGGACATTAGCATGTAGACAGCTGCTTCTAGGCCTTGTGACGGAATACAGCAGTAAGATAAGGAATGGCCAGTAGGATTTTGGTTTAAAGGCCAATAGATATAATAATGAGAATCCAACTAGCATTAGAAAATA